TAGAATAAATATAACTGTAATTGGTTACTCTGGTCAGTTTTTATAAAATAATTCCGTTTAAATTGCTAAACAGTACATTTAAAAGCATTTTGAAAGACTATATTTAAATGAAAGTTGTAACATAGCTATTAACATGTTGGGGAGATTACTGTGTATAAGTCTTTTAGATTTAATGTTTCAGTAAATAAAATAAGATCATTATTCTGTATGGAAATGTAATCTGAAAAGGTTAATTTTGATAAGCATTTTTTTCCCTCCGTAATTGAAACTTCCCATTAGCATGGCTGTTATTAAAATCTATTTTCCTATAATTTCATTACAGGAATTTATATTCCTATAATGCACTTTTTCCAGAATTTTACAACTTAATTGTAACTGCTGAGGAACCCCTTTACAACACTGATTTTGGGATAGTGTACTAATAACTTCTTTCTAAGCAAGCCATATTACACAAGGCTTTTACCATTTAATATGCCATTTTATGTAAGAGACTTGAGCAACTGTGGATTTTGGTATCCATGGGGGTCTTGGAGCCAATTCTCCATGGATACCAAGGGAGAACTGTACTATTTTTAATGTCCTGCATTGATATCATTCTTTATGTTTTTCAAACTTTTAGTATAATTTCTGCCAATAGATATCTTAGATATAAGGATATAAACCTCAAAAGATGTGATTTTTTTTAACCTGTGCTATTAACAGGTCTTTCCACCCTGCACTAATAGATCAAGGTTCTTTTGTTTACTATAAATTTAAAAATATTTTCTCAGGCCTCAGCAAGGAGCAGTTAAAATATTTTAAAATACTGAATATGAACATATGAATTGTTTGATAAATTTGAATTTATAGGCTGTGATTAGTTTTTCTTATAATTAAGTATAGCTAAGGCAATTGGTATATCTCAGATTATCTGTGATTAATACTTCTATTAATATCATCTTTGGTATGGTTTTCATTATACAGTATATTTTTAAAAAGATAAGTTCTATATTCTTAGTATGTAAATAATTAACCTATTTCCATTTTGGAAGCTAAATTATAACTTAATGTTTCAGTAATAAACAGGGTTCTTTGGTTTTATGAATTTATCTTCTTTTCTTTGAATGTTACTAATTCAAAAGAGAAAGCTGTATGTATTGATCGTGTACTGTGTTTTTTTTTGACAGGTTTCTGTAGAGCCACGTTTTCATTCTGTGTTAGTCCTCTGTTGGTTTTTGTCAATTCTAAGAGTGGAGATAATCAGGGAGTAAAGTTCCTGCGTCGTTTTAAACAGTTGCTAAATCCGGCTCAGGTGTTTGATTTAATGAATGGAGGTCCTCATTTAGGGTAATTGATTATTGATAAATTGTATTTGAATGAAATGTCACAGTACACATGAAATGTCTGGCTTTTTCAGCTCATGAAAATTGTAGATTCCTTTAGACTCCCTCTCTTCTTAAAGCTCTAATTTATAAGTTTTAACACAAACTTTTTGTTAGTTCTGCAACTGCCTTGTATAAATTCTAAAATTTATATTGAAATTGACAAGTTCCAAACTTTGTTTAGAAAATGTTTTAGAATATATCCTGTATCAAATGATACTGTTTTTTTAGCTGCAAGAAAGATCAACTTGCCTAAATATAGAATACAAAAATAACATTAGGAAATGATTTGCCCGGAAGGCTAAGATTGATTTATATGTAATATAAACAATCAATTATTTCACCAAAGTACAGGTACTGTCATGAATCTCAAGGACAGTTCCTCAAGCTCAGTTCATATAAAATAACAAAGAAATACTTTTGTTGACTGTTCTTTTTAACTTTCTGGAATGTCATTATTTAAAATCTGAAAAAAAAATGAACTAAATATTTTCATTGAGGGAAATATACCTTGAGGAACTTTTAATATTTTTATGGTATGTATATGATTTTCTTAAGCAGTGCTATTGTGTCTTCAGTCTCTATATGATTTACTTAGGCCAACTCAGCTCTTCTCTTGGGTTCCACTATTACCTTAAAGCATGAACACAGAAGTAGAAATGGGGATTTTAGATACCAGTGCCTCACAAGACCTTTCATGTTTTATATGACATTTTCCTCTGGCTTCTCTTTGTGCCTCTTTTCACTTTTGTCCCTTCGGGATCTGCCTTCCTGTTTCTAGTGCCTTTTTCTTGCCACGTCTCGGGCCTTTCTGGCCACATGGGTGTGGGTCTCGTCATTGACACCCACTTTCTTCCTTTTCTCCGTGCACATCCTTCCTGTCCTCTGCTGGGGTCCTAGAGTTTCCTCCTCTAGCCTCTCTTCTCTCCTTCTTTGTCTCTGCCATTCTGGGGTGGTTTTGTCTCCCTTTCTAACACATCTGCTTTATAATCTTTCTAGTTCCACGATTATGTGTCTTCATATTTATTTTTCCCATTCATCCTCTAAGACTCCAAGGATCTCTTTGTGAAACTGCTTGAGATTGATCCTCTAATACATTTTTCAGATTTTCCACAATACTTGGGGTGTACAAAGGTACTTGTAGGAGATGGGATGTGTCAAAAGTTGAGATGAAGGAAGGTAGAAGTAAAGGATTGACCTGAGAATAGGAGAAGAGAAGGAGGAAAAGTGAGTTGAGGGTTCTAAGAGTGGTATTTAAAACATTGATTGGTCTCTGTAGGAACTGCCCAAGTGCCACTCAGTGCACCAGGACCCTAGATTCCCTACCCCTGGTTTGTAATTCTTAAGGGAATAACTTATCTTTGTAATGGAAAGGAAAAAACCACTACTTTCACAGTCTCGTGTGACTTTACCTTTCCTGGTCTCTGCTGCTTTTTTCTTTTCTTGTTTCTCACTCCTCTTTCCTCCTAATTTTATCTTCATTTCTACTTATAATTCCCTTCACTGCTTATGATTCAGAAGTTTTCTTGAGTTAAAATTGTACCTAAAGTAATTTTTACGGTATAGTTAATATGTAGGAGGAGTTCTTATATCTAATCTGAGTGTGAATACCAATAAATACAGAATAGCAAAGAATCGAGGAAAATGATTTTTATTTCTTTATACTAAAATGAAATGCTTTTTACTTTCAGCTTAAGATTATTTCAGAAGTTTGACAATTTCCGGATTCTTGTGTGTGGAGGAGATGGAAGTGTAGGTTGGGTTTTGTCCGAAATCGATAAGCTCAACTTGAATAAACAGGCAAGTGGTAATTCTTTTTATGGGTAGTTAACATGAATGCATGCTAACATATTCCCCAGGGAGGTGCACAAATGCAATAGCCCCTATTTCTCAACTTGTCTGAACGTCTCCCTATTGTGCCGTCTTTTAGTGTCAGCTGGGAGTACTACCTTTGGGTACAGGAAATGACCTTGCTCGAGTTCTTGGCTGGGGAGGCTCATATGATGACGACACCCAACTTCCTCAGATACTTGAGAAGCTGGAACGGGCCAGTACTAAAATGCTGGACAGGTAAGAGTGCATTCTTTGCTAATAGTAGATTGAAAATGGCATACCGAAATCATTTTTTGGAAATTTAAATTATACTGACTAGAAGTCCCATGAAGGCAGAGATTTCCTGGTCTTGTCCACTGGGTAGGTAGGCTCTCGTTACTCTGCAGTTTCAGAAAAGCTAGAAACATCTTTACATTTGGGAACACACCTTCGTATTATACCGAAAGCTGTGTCTCTCGGTAAAACAAAAACAAAAACAAAACACCTTTACATTTATTAGAATATCTTTTTTTAATCATCCATATTAAGAATAAGCTGGGTGCAGTAGCTGACGCCTGTAATCCCAGTACTTTGGGAGGCCAAGGAGGAAGGATCACTTGAGCCCAGGAGTTAAGACCAGCCTCAGTAACATAGCGAGACCCCATCTCTACAAAAAATAAAAAAATTAGCCAGGTGTGGTGGCATGTGCCTGTAGTCCCAGCTATTCGGGAGGCTAAGGCAAGAAGATCCCTTAAGCCCAGGAGTTTGAGGTTGCAGTGAGCTATATGATTGCACCACTGCACTCCAGCCCAGGCAACAGTGAGACCCTGTCTCAAAAAAAAGAATGAATTGACCCAACAAAGAACTAAATATTAAAAAAATAAAAAATGCTTTCCTAGGTATGGGGAAGTATTAGGAAGACAGCTTTAAATGAAGGAATTGCCACTGGATTTATGCTATTCCTGACCACATCTCTTAACGGCTTTCTCTCGGAATGTCCATGTATAAAGAAGAAATCACAATGTGTATACCCTGAGCATTATGGAGGAGGTGTTTAGAATTTGGGAAGAGGGAACAACAGGACTTAGTTAGCAGTCACTCTCCACCCTCTGCCATAAGCAGAAGACAAATGTCAAAATATCATTATAAACTTGAGCTTACGTGAATCAAAACGACTTTGATAGAATTAGCCATCTGTGGAACTCTTCCCGAAAATAACAAAATCTCATCAGGGAGCCACCAATCTAAAATGTAATTACTCTAAAATGAGGAGCTGTAACCTGATTAATTGTAACCTTGCCTGTCATAAGGTAACGTTGCAATAGTTGATTCTTTTGTGGACAGAGTATTTTAAAAGAGAGCTGGGCAGTAGAGCGTTTGTGTTTATCCAAAATGCGCGCGTGAGAGGCACACTCCAGTAGTTTGTGGGCATAAAGGCTTGGAATCTAATGTGGTGCTGGATTTAGTCTTTAAAAGAGCTTGGAGGTTAGAAAAGAAAAAGGTAACTATGTGAAATGATGGATATGTTAATTAGCATTATGGTGGTGATTACTTCACAGTGTATATGTATATCAACACATCAAGTTTGTATACCTGAAATATATACAATTTTTATTTGTCAACTATACCTTACTAAAGCTGGGGAGAAAAAAACTGGAAATCAATAAAATCACAGTTATGCGTAAAAGTGCCGAGGTGACTTCCCAGACAACTGTCAAATTCTGTGTTTACCAAACACATAGTATTTTAAATGCTCTCTTTATTGCACATTTAAAGATCACTCTCACTTCATCCTAGGAAAAGCTGTTAGGCATTTCCTCCACCCTGGGTGTGTGCTTTTCCCTGGTGTGTTACAGAAAATCACTTCTCCAGTGTTTAGCCAAGAAACAGCAACCCCTTGGTGAAATTCCTTGATATCTACAGGCTTGCAAAAAACACAAGAAAAAAAGATTCAAAGGAGATTTAAAAACCTAGAACCTTCCATCATTGGAAACATAAGCATATTTTGTTCTTGTGTGTTCCTTATTAATTTGCTGTTTGTAAAGAGCAGGTGAAAAAAAATCATTGTTTAATATTCCAAATTAAATAAGGTTTTCCTATATTAATTTATTTGATTCTCAAAACAACACTGTGGGTGGCTCACGAAGCATCGTTATGACTATTTTATAAAGGTGAAAATTGAAGTTTGTAGAGACAATGGGAGTAAGAGCAACTAATAATTTTTGTCTTCCTGGCACATCTACTAGTTGCTTTACTTTATATATTGTCTCATTTAATCATCACTGTACTCCTAGAGATAGCTAATATTGTCCTCTCCGTTTTTCTAGTAAAAAGGCTAAGGAGGTTTTTACATTATCTAAGTTATATAACTAATAAGTGATCGAACTGGCACCATAAACCAGAATGCCGAGGTTTTTTCTCAATATTGCATTCTCTCCCCTTTAATGCGTGTAAATGCCAAATGGGTCCTGAGCTTCTGGCCTGTAACTCTGCTTTGCTGGGGCCAATATTCGTCTCTTCCTCACTCTATCATCTCTTGCTGCCACTTTCTCCTGTTTCATCTGCTCCAACCATTTCCTTTGGACGGGGGAGGTATAACCTGGAAGGTGCAAGGAACTTAGCCAGTTAACATTCACATTTCTTCAACTGTCTTTTGACCTGAGAAGTAACTTCAGCTATAAGGAGCTTGACTTTTATGTCTTCAATTACAGTTTTCCCTGTTGGATATTTATAAAGTTTAATTGTTTTGTTTACTTGTATTATACCTGTTTTCTGCATTAGAATCTAAGCTTCATTAGGGAAGCCTTATTCACCCTTGTGTTTCCAGACCCTGTCTGTCATTTTGGGATGCTCAATATAGTATATCTGTTGCATGGATGAATGAATGAATGAATGGGTGGATGAATGGCTTTTGGTGCTCAAATATAAATTTCTATATAGTATTTTCATGTCAAGAGTTGAATAGTAGCACTATTCAGTTTACATATCCTAACATATATGTCTATTGGGGAATTTTCTGGGAATGTTGATTTTTATGCAAAGATTCATTCGCATTAGTGTTAATGATACACTAGGCTCTGTTTAAATACTGATCTTGGGATTTTCCTGTAGGTTCTATTACTGGTTTCAGCTGTGTTATGCTTTTCTTAAAATTCATGTGTTAATAGTACTGCTTTTATTGATAATGTTCTTGCCTACTTTTTCTTCCCAAATCTGGAAATTATTATTTTAGGTAGAAGACTGGGCTTATTCTGAGTTGATTGCTTTCCTCTAACACCAAGTGATTCAATATTTGCTTTGAAATTAATACTTATAGCTAATTGAAATAAATTTGCTTCAATTACATATTATTAATATTTCCTCATTAATCCCATCCTTATATTCATTCTTTCTTAATTTAAGAAGGAATATTTCACTAATTTTCTTTTCATAGGTAGTATGCATTTATTTAATCTAGGACATTGTTTTAGAATTTTGGATTGTGAGTCATTGGTATTATAATTTGTAATCCAATAAGTAAATAATGAGCATTATTTGAAAAGTAGAATAGAAAAGTCAGAATACATTGCACCTAATGGAGAAGGGGAAGTGTTATTACACAAGTACATTTTTTACTATGGGCCTGGCCTTAAAACATTTGGAAGCCACTAATAAGAGAAATGGTACGATGTGGAAATCATAAATTATAAATTCAGCGTTTTATGAAATGACCAAAATTCCATCTCTTTCCCCATTTTGGCTGTTTTAAGATACAATAAACCATAGTTCATGAATATAAATATATATATATGTATATGAGATGGGAACAGTTTATTCAATTTTAAAGGACTTTTAGAGCGAAGATTTTTCTTCCTTCAGGTGGAGTATAATGACTTATGAACTCAAATTGCCACCAAAGGCTTCTCTACTTCCGGGACCTCCAGAAGCAACAGAAGAATTTTATGTAAGACTTAACCCTTTTTCTATTTGTCATTTGGAATGGGGGTAGATGTCTTGAAAAAAATGAGAGAACTCATAAGATATGGTAACATGTTTATTTAATTTTATTTTTATTTTCTGGAGTATGCTACTTAGCTACTTACAGTCCTCTCCTTCGGACTATAAGTAGGTCTAGGTTAGAGTCCTTCTGTGACCACCCACACTGGGAACGTGAACTTAGCCTAGTCATTGGCCTTCCTGAGCCTCTGTTACTTCATCTCTAAAATGAGGCTACAGAATTGTGAGGATTAAATGACATAACAAATGTGTATAAAGCACTGGGCATGCAGTTCTCCCTGAGTATTCTCCCTGCCTGTTTCCTTTTTATCAGCAGTGCTCCAGGAAGGCGAGCTGGTAACAGTTCCCTGATAGCTTGTACTCAGCTTCTGCATTGGCCAGGAGCACCCATGTGATTGTTAGGTATTAGCCCAGCTCCCTTAAACAATCTCCAAGCACACCGATACTCTGGCCAGAATATTGTACAACTTCCCTCTTACTGCTTTGCTTGCTCTTTGAAGGGGGCAGTAGGACAGGTCTCCGGGTTAAGCCTGTTGACCCACATAAAACAAAGGAAGAAAGAGCCCACTTCATTCTGTCCCTGCCACAAACCACAGAGGACTAAAGTTTTTAGACATTTTTAAAGATTCAGCATTCTGATTAAACCTCAAAGCAGCGGAGATTTAAAACAGAACCTGACTTTCAAAGGATTATTCTCTGACTCATTAAGACTGTTTGATCTGTGAAAGCTTATTTTTCCCTTTAGGAAAATGTATCTGTTTATTTTACAGTTGAAATCTTTGTTTTGTCATTCATAAAATTATGATCTTGTCAAAACTAAGGCAAGGGATGATAACCAGAAATACGGGGCTGTTCCTTAGAGAAGATAATTACATTTTTAAAACTTTTTCTGATATAAAAGTAGCAAAAACTGCTTCTAAAAAATTCTGAAAATACAACATTATATGATAAAGAAAATAAGTCACTTATAGTAATATCACCCAGAGATGATCTCTATTAAAGATTAATATATTTACTACTTTATTCCAAGCAGCATTTTTAGTTGTAATATTATTCTGACTATAAACATAATACATGTTTTTATAGAAACCAGTCTTTTTCTTAATTGCATTTTTATAAATGTCATTAATTTTCTTTCCAAAAAGACAAAAAGGGGAATTCTTTTGTTCTACATACTTCAAAAATATCTTTTCCCTAGCATATTAAATAAAGGTAGATAATTTACTTTTATCACTTACATATAGTCACTAAATATGAGGTACAATTGTAAGAATGTGAAAGGAATCTAATTGTTTTAGTGCAAAAGGGTTTTGAATGAAACTTTATTTTTTTAAAACTTATTTTTATAGTAAATGGATAGCATACTTTAAGATTACAGATTAAATGAGTGTTCTAAATGGCCCTGACTAGGGCCTGAGCACCCTCTTGCTGACACCAGGAATGCACTTTACTGTGTATGACTTTTTCACCTTGAAAACTGCAATAAAAGTAAGCTAAACCGTCCTTCTTAGCTTGAGTGTATGAAGCTGTGGGTCTTAGGCAAATCACTCAACTCAGCTAAGCTTCGGGTTTGTTGACTGTAAGACAGGACAATTAAAGGGGTACCTATATACGAAGTGCTTAATCATAGTATCTGGTGCACAATACAGAATGTTAACTCTTTATTACTTACCTTCCTGACCCGGCTAAGTGACTACATAATAGGTTAATAAGTGATATCAATAATTTTGTCCTTTCTACATAGAGGTTATTTCATTTTCTTCTGAAAGAGGTTGGATTTTTATCTTTGAATATTTTTACCAGACAAAAACTTGGGTTTTTAAGTGTAAGTTTCACATGGCATTAATCAAATGACATCAATTAATTAACTGACAATTAATTCATTAATTAATGGCATTAGTGATCATTTAAAATATTTTCTATGCTGCGGAGAAAATATCTGAAAAACATTTTTCTTTTCTACATTTTTTAGATGTATTTTCATTTTTTGCGATCTTAACTTGTGAAGATGCAGTTTTTAGTGTTCAAACAAAGAGATCAATAGAGTGGATTTGCGGGTCAGTAGTGTTGTGTGTAACTTTGGAGTTCCTGCCCTCCACTCCTTTCTTTGATGTAAAATTGCTTCCCCGTATTGTGGTCTAACTTTGAAGGATGGAAGATAGAAATTTAAAAGAGTAACATACTGACCTGATTACCCACGGGTGGAATTGAATGTAAATTAGCAATGAGATTCCTTTGGGAAGAGGCTAGTCAGGAAGGCTTTATGTAGGGAGGGATGTTAATTGAATCTTCAATTAAGTGTGAATAAACTGATGCTAATTGGTAAAAAGCAGTGAAGAGACATCTGAGTCAGGCAGAAGAGCTTAGGAGGCCAGCTTGCATAGTGCAGACCATTTATAGGAAAAAATTTCGAGCTGTGTGACATGCAATATCATTTGATGCAAACATTTGATGGAAGGCTCTAAATATGAGGCTGTTTAAATGTTGCGTACATTTTTACATGTTGAGAAAATGTATTCTTTCAACAGGATATTAAAATTTGAGTCAAATAGAAAGGGGGTATGGACACTTTTGGCATTTAGATCATTTTATTATTTAAGGGAAATATTTATTTACATGATTGTATGACAGTGCATTAAGCATTTAAAAAACTTTTTATTGAATTATATCTACAGAAAAGTGCATATATCATAAACATACAGCTTGGTGAATTTTCACAAACTAAACAAACCTATGTAATCAACACTAAGGAGAGCATTCAAGTACCCCATGTGTCCCCCTTAGTCACTATACACACCTCCCACCCCAATAACCACTATCCTGACAGCACAGATTAGTTTCACCTGTTTTTGTACTTTGTAAAATAAAATCATTTTTGATGCCCTCTTGTTTCATTATCCTTTCACTCAACATTGTGTTTGATTTATCTACATGGTAGCACAGCTGTAAATCATTCATTGTCATTGTCCCATCATATTCCATTACACAAATATACTGCAGTTTGTCATTCCTTCTATTATTGAATGGATGCTGCTGTGAACGTTCTAGTACATGTCTTTTGGTGAACACACGTTGGCATTTCTTTTGGGTATATATGTAGAAGTGAATTTCTGAATCCTGTGGTATTAATGCATATGTTCACCTTTAATAGATACTATCAAATAGTTTTGTAGGGTATTTTTATCAATGTGCACTCCCATCAGCAGTGCATGAGAGTTCTATAGCTCCACAGCCTTGCTAGCACTTGGCACTTTCCATTTGTGGTTTTCCTTCTAGCCATTCTGGTGTATATATAGGATAGTGGTACTGCACTGAGGTTTTAGTTTGCACTTGCCTGATGGTTGATGAGCGTGAATACTTTTTCATCTGTTTATGGACCATTTGCATTTTCTCATATTTAAATTTCTAGTTTTTTGCACATTTTTTATTAGATTGGCTTTTACTAATTTATAGAAATTCTTTGTATTAATATATTTAGGTATTTGATCTTTTAAAAATTTTTAAAAAGGCTTTTATGGATTTTTCTAAGAATTTAAATTAAGGATTCCAAAAACCAAAAGTCTTTCAAAGAAAGGAAATATTTAATCTATTTTGCATAGTGATTCTTTTATCTATTTCATTATAGCCATTGCCCTGTCTCACATGTTGCAGGAATGGTTCCATTTCTGGAGCAGTAATAACTGAGTTGTATAAATGCCAGCAACAATAATACAGTGTAGGTTTTTTTCTCTTTTCAGATGACAATTTATGAAGACTCAGTTGCAACTCATCTTACAAAAATCCTCAATTCTGATGAACATGCAGTGGTCACATCATCTGCCAAGTGAGTCGTGGAGTTTAAGTCATGAAATAATTATATGGTGAAATTGAAGGGGAAGCTGGTTGCTACCATTTACGTCATTTCTTTGTGATTTTTCTGTTCAAAAAATATCTGTGAAGTAGTTTATAGAATTAGATGTACTAAATTTGAATTGATTTTTTAAAATCGCATTAGCATCTTATTTACACTGGAGTATATTTAGAGGGTATATTTTTTGATGCTTAATTTGAAACATTTTTGTCAAAAAGGTATAATAAGTGTCTGGAGATTAATTAACCTAAATGTCTATTTAAGGAAGTATCTCTGATTAATTATAATATGGAAAACACATTTTATTGTAATTCATTATTTCCATAACACTACTATTCAGGAACTGTTTACATCAGTATAAGGAAAGCAATGATCAGGTTTTTCAAAATGACATTTCTCAGCATGTTTACATTGCGTAATTATATTTTAATTCAGAGTTATCAGATTTTAGTTAAGTTGATTCTGTACGTGGAGCCAAAGCTACTTACTTGATGTTATTATCCCAAATGTTGCCTGGCTGGAATTTAGAATTTAGTTTTGAAGCATGCTATGCTGATGTCGAGAGAACTGGAAAGCCAACTAGAGGAAGGGGGTAAAAAAACTGAAATTTTCAATTGATAAGCAAAAGGATGCTTAAAAGATGTGGCTTAGCAAGAAAGTATTACTATTGTGCAGAAAAAGAGGAGAAAAAGAAGGGGAAGAAGGAAAGAAAAGGAGTGGGAAAGTGGTGAAGGAAAAATACACAAATTTTGGTATATTATGTACTTAATTTGTAAAAAGTCTAGAAAAGACAAGATAAATCATTATAAACAAATTTGCTTGTGACGAAAGTACAACTGTGACAATTGCTTTTGATGACACACCCTCCAGGAATAGGAAACAGAACTGAACAATAGGAAAAAGAGTTGAATGGCTTAGGACACGGGGAAGCACACTGGTTGACCCAGGCAGAGGCCGGCCTCTGTTTCAGGCTGTGCTGCTGGTTGATTTATGTTTGTTTGTTTGGATGGTTTTTTTTAATGAATTATATTGCTCTATGGAGAAATGTACAAATCTCTAGTTTGTCCAAGGCCTCAGCATTCCCTATTGTATTTCTTATCCCAGGCCCAATTCAAGCACCTAAGTTAATTTGCCTGTTCCTTGTAGACGTTTGAGTTTGCTACCTTTACCCTGTGAATCAAATGTGTCTTTATAGGACATTTCAGAGGACATTGCTAGGAAAGATAGAAAGTCGAAATGGTAACTTATTTAAGGTATAACAAGTTATAAAAGAATTTTTTTTGTTTTAATATAGTTAAGTAAATATTTTATCTGGCCACCTTTTATAGTTTGGGTGTTAGCAAAGCCTTTATATTGACCTTCATGTGTTTGATTAACTGCCTCCTATACATTTTATGTTTTTAATTAAATGGAATTCATGTTATGAAATTTTGGCAGATGCAAACAGGATGGTTATGGCAGCCACACCTTTCTTTCCCTGTCATTCTTAATCTTAATACCTGTGTAGTCCCTGGGTAGTATAATATTTTTAGCAGTGGAAATATTTTCTGAAATAAAATCTTACACAGAATTCCAATATTAAAAAAATTAAAATTCTGTTTTTTGGTATTAATAAATTGAATAAGATTGAATTATTAGTCACCGATGAGAAAAATTAAGCAATAAGGTTATAGATGACAGTTAAAGTCTTATATTCAATGCAGCTTCCAATATTTCTGTATCTTATTTTGTTTACATGATTGTAAGGAAATTGTCTTCACTTATGGCAGAAGATGCTTTAGTCTAATATTTGCACAAAAACTAGTGAATTCTAAAGTCAAAGTTAATGTATTATTTGTCTCTAATGTTTCTAACGATCATTTGAGCATTTAAAAAATTATGTCCTGTATTTCTGAATGTAATTTGAATCGAGCATTTGTAGGATCCTTGAAGTATTTCTGGAGAATAGTTTGGAAACCACTGGAATAAGCCACAATGTTGTGCTAAATTGTGATAAATCCGGGGTCCTAGCTGAGACTCCACCGTTTGCCAGCTTTGTGATCTATGTCTGTTTTTACAAGTGTAAGAACGTAAGGATTCCTCCCTCATGGAACTGTTAGGAGAATTAAGTTGAGTAATAAAATAAATATAGAGCTCATAAACTACAGGTTACTATATTAAATTATGTATCATCACCTCCCGTTTTACCCAATTACATTTCAAACTTTTTTTGACCTTGGTCGGACTCCTTGTCTAAGGAGTCTTCTCCTTGCTCTTAGCCCTAGGTTTGGGTCTCTCCCCAGTAGCTTACTTCCCTTTGGGCAGATTCCCTTCCAAACCCTAGTCCCCTCTTATCACTCATCTGTGTCCCCAGACCTGCCTGGCTGCCTGCCTTTACAACCCCAGATTAAAATTCTAGAAGATTGCCATAAAGAGGTTCAAGAGAGAAAAGAGACGACAATATGTAATAACTTTATACCAGTAATATATTTTTAATTTTATTTTTTATGGACATTTTCAAACATATAAAAGTAGAAAGGCTGGGATAATGATTTCCCACCATACCCATCACTCAGCTCCAGTATTTATATACATTTTGCCACCTACTCGCCACTTTATTTTGCTACAGTAAGATTTGCTTACAGTATCTCTAAGCAAATCTCAGAAATCGTTTTATTCCATTTTTGGTATACAGCCATCCCTGAGTATCCATGGGGGTTTGGTTCCAGGACCCCCCACAGATACCAAAATCCGCCAATGCTTGTGTCCCTTATATAAGATGGTATAGCGTTAATATTTGCATATAACCTACACACATCCTCCCATATACTTTAAATCATCTCTAGATTACTTGTAATACCTCATACAATGTGAATGCTATGTAAATAATTGTTAAACTGTATTGTTTAGAGAATAATGACAAAAAAATAGTCTGTACATGTTCAGTACAGACACCAACAATCCGTTGTTTTTTTTTTTGTTTTTTGAGTATTTCAGCCTGTGGTGGATTGAATCTATGGACATGGAATCCACGGATATGGAGAGCTGTGTGTGTGTGTGTGTGTGTGTGTGTGTGTGTGTGTGTGTGTACACCATATATATGTATATATACTGTGCGTGTATGTTTATATATATTATTAATATATATTATATATATAACTTCTTTAAAGGGCCAACTGCATGTATGTGTGTATATATATAATCTTTTTTAAAATTTAAAAAATAATAGTTCTCATGTGAGGCAGACGTGATAACCCTTACACTACAGAAACCAGACAATAATAGTTCTCTAATGCCATCAATATTACTCAGTCCATATCCCATTTTCCCCCCGGTTATCTTGAAGGTTTTTTTTTTTTTTTTAAGCAGTTTATTTGTTCAAATCAAAATCCAAACAGGGTTCACACATTGCATTTGGGTGATATATCTCTTTAAGACTTTTAAAGTCTACAATGCTTCCCCTTGCTTTTTTAAAAAAATTCCTTATTGAGGAATGACAAATATAAAGTGCCCAAATCACAAGGGTACAACTCAATGATTGAAAAAAATACTACACACACACACATGCACACACACACGCTTATACCTACTACCTAGATAAAATAAAGAATTGCCTTCTTAGATGTTAATGTCACTTATTTGTTGAATGATCGAGTATTAAGGCAAAATGTTTTACCCCTCCTGTGCATGTTTATATTTATTTCATAAATAATAATTCCCAGTAGCCTTAACTGTTTTCAACTATTTTTAAAACGTTGAAATGCTTATGGAAAAGCTATATTCCATTAGCGTAATTATTAATAATATGTGGGTTAACTTATATAGTAAATGTAGGTTAAGTTAAAACATCATTTCTTTGACTTTGAAATTTTATCAATTCCATATGGTAACAGGAGTTATCTTCTGAGAATCCCAGCTCTAATTAGCAATAATAGGTGCTATTTATTAATAAAAATGAAAAACAGCATTATTAAATAAGTTGTCTTTGGCTGCAATATATGTCTCTCTTATTTAGTCAGTAGTTTTTAAACTTTTCTAGCTTTAACGGTCGGAGTTAATTAGGTTTTTCACTCACTCATTCTACTCACCCCCAACTTTTAGAATAAATGCAACTTGTTCTGTATATAAACTTTCAGAAAATGGGATAACTGGCAAGAAGATTGGAGCCATTGTCATAGAGGTGTAGAATTTAGATTTGGAATCTACTTTAGAGATAATATAGGCAACCCTCTCATTTGATAGATGAGGTGAGGTTGTTGTTAAAAAATCTTTCCTCAGAGCACATACATAGCTAGGAATTTTTTTTTATTATGCATTGATACTTCTAAATCATCTTTAATTTCTAATTGGAACTTTTTATATTAGATGAAAAATGAGTTTTTCAGGTTCTCATCGGATAACCCTGTCTGCCAATCCGTGATTCTGTTGGACAGTTTATCTTAGTGTAGTGTTTGCATATTTTATTGTCGTTTGCCCATGTTTAGAAAAAAATAAGTGGAAAGCTGATAAATGAGGGTACTGCTACTAGTAATAAAGAAGTATAGGTCTCACAATATAATATAGTTGAGATGATGGTAGAAATCATCAAACGTATTTTATTAAATGTGGACTGCTATGAGCCTCAACTGAATATTTGGTGTACACAATTGTTCAACTTTTAAGGAAGAGAACAAGATTAAAGAAATAAAATATTGGAAATATCTCATCAAAAGTTCTGACAGATTAAAGATGTAATTAGGGATTTAAAAAATTTTTAGCTCTATGGGAAAACCCACATTCCACTTTCATTTATTGGATTTTTGCACATGTTTTCTGGAAGTCTTTATGTATAAAGTAGGAAACTCTGTGTATAGTTAGAGAATTTCTTTTGTGTTACCATAGTAAATGCATCTTAAAATTGTTTTTTCTCCAATATGCAAGCTCCGAGTTGGTATGACTTTGACATCATACTATTTTTAAGTATGTATTTTATTTCTATTCTGAAACCTTTACATTCACTATTTAAGTGTAATAGGAGGTTAGTTCATTCCTCCAGAATATAAATATCCTATATTCCTTCTGGAATATGGACCGTAATGGACCATCAGATGGAGCATTTCTCTGGATTCTTCCCACACGTATATGGCAAGCCCTCTCCTGACTTTGCTATTCCCACTCTGCAGCTCTCTTGGCCGCGGGTTCCACAGGATCCTGCTGTCTCCTTCAGCCTCTGTCTGCCTCAGAAACATGGCACAACCGAGGAAGGGCACCTCTCTGCCCCTCTCATTCCTAAGCTGTTGGACTGAAGGGCTCTGTTCCTAGGAGTTAGTAAACTACTCCTACTCCTAATAATATTATGCCATATGCAGTTTTACAAACCCAAGAGAAAATTATATCAAGATATTGTTATTATAATGGCAAGAAAAACCTCTGTTTTCGAGTTACACCAAGAGTTGAGAATGCCAGTATCTCCACTCTCTCAAAAGTAGCACATCTTAGAGAAACTGTCAGTAAAACCCAAAGAAGAGATTTCATGGTAGCCTGACTTATTTTTTTTTTTTTTTTTTTTGGAAAAGAGTCTGGCTCTTTTGCCAGGGCCAATGTGAGTGCCGCGACGTCAGCCTAGCTCATAGCACCTGCCTAGCACTTTCCCCTAACCAAATGAGCCAGAGTTCCAAGCCACTGACTTATTTTTTTTTTTTCATTGAGGTTTCTTCCAAGTGATGTGCACTACATCTATTAATAAACTTGTTTTTCTCTTGTTAATCTGTTTTTTGTTATAGGTGTCCCACCTAAGAACTATGAGGTCTCTCCTCCCCAACATCTGTCCCTACCAAGCCCCTGAAACTGTTTTTTAACATCACCAATAACCTCCACGTTTCAAAACAAACACTGCCTTTTCCATCCTCTTCTTCAACCTCTCTTAGACACTTGGCCGCTCTTTTTCTAAACGTACACTCCTCTTTGAGTCTGGAAATTGCCATCCCATTGTTCTGCTTCTCGCTCTCTGTGCTCTTTTTTCAGTCTTCCTTGCTAGCTCCTTCTCTCGCTGACGTCTAAATTCCTATAGAACT